TGTGTAACTAAAAAAAAACAAAAAACCAAAAAAAAAAAAAAACCCACAGCCAAGTTGGTAAGTAGAATAATCACCATTGTGGTTTATTAATTTTCTGACTATATTATAAAATTGAAAAGGAAGGAAATACAAATTTAGTGGTTCACTGATTTTGAAGATCTCATCATGGCTAAAACTTATTTTCCAATAAGACTATACTTACAGTTTAACATTATTAGTGTGTCCAAAGTAGAGATAATGTGAATAAGAAAAATTCATAGTGGTTCTCATGCTGAATGAGAAATAATGTCAATTTATATAGTTATCATTATCCGATCGACTTAGGAACCTTACCTCTAATTCTGGGTAATTGGAAGGTAATTTTTTCATTATGAAATACATAAATCGTGAGATCTTATCTCAGTGAACTTTTCACCTTATTTATTGAGATAGTGTCTTACTGTGTTGCTCAAGGGTCCTCTGACCTCAGCCTCCCAAGTGTCAGGGACTAATCACATGCGCCATCTGGTTTCAGAAAGCATTTTAATGTTCACTTTAAAATACATCCAAACACTGGAGGAAAAGTCTGTGATGCCATGTATGGTCACCACAGAAATAAATATTATTCACGTGATAGGAACTGGCCTCATTCTAGGAAATGCAATTCTTTTTTCTTTTTCTTTTTTTGTTTTTTTGTTTTTTGTTTTTGTTTTTCGAGACAAGGTTTCTCTGTGTAGTCCTGGCTATCCTGGAACTTACTTTGTAGACCAGGCTGGCCTCGAACTCAGAAATCTGCCTGCCTCTGCCTCCCAAGTGCTGGGATTAAAGGCGTGTGCCACCACTGCCTGGCTCATTTTTCTTTAATAGTATACTGTTTGGTGTATAGTTAGCTCACACACACGCACACACACACACACACACGGGGCTTGGGGAGAGAAACATGAAAATCTTCAGTGTTACCAGTAACATCTAAAAGGACATTAGTGGGTACACTGGTTATTACTGCCACAAACTTCAGATTTATTGATTAAAAGCATGCGTTACATTGACCTCAAAATTCAAAACCAGAACACTAACTGCTTTTGTAAAAAGGCTCACGTGTGCAGGGTAGGATATCTCTGAACGGACGATAGGGTACCCGCAGTTCAGGTACCAAAGAAGACAACGCAATGGGTTTATCTGGACTTTCATGGTGCACTTAACAAAAGGCTGAAGTAGTTCCCATTCCAGTAATCTAGATGTAAATGTTGTAATAAGTTGTAGGGTTACTTTCCCAGGCTCCTGAAATTACTTTCTGGCCTCTATTTTATGAAAACAAAAACAAAACCAACCAACTAAGCAACCAACCAACCAAACAAACAAAATATGATTCCTTCCAGAAGAAAAATGGGAAACTTTTATGTTACATTTGCTTTAATATCTTTTTTTTTTAAGATTTATTTATTCATATATGTGAGTACACTGTCACTGTCTCCAGACACACCAGAAAAGAGCATCGGATCCCATTACAGATGGTTATGAGCCACCATGTGGTTGCTGAGAATTGAACTCAGGATCTCTGGAAGAGCAGTCAGTGCTCTTAACCCCTGAGCCATCTCTCCAGCTCCATGCTTGAATATCTTTTATATGTTCTGTTTTGTTATTTATTTGTGTGTATGTGGGGGTGTTCACATGCCACGTCATGGACATGGTGCTGAGAGGACAATTTGTGAAAGCCAGTTGCCTTTCTTTCCACCAGGTAGGTCCTCCAGAGTGACTTTAGGAAAGCAGGCTTAGCAACAAGGGCCCTTACTTCTTGAAATATCTCACCTGTATCTCTCTCTCTCTCTCTCTCTCTCTCTCTCTCTCTCTCTCTCTCTCTCTCTCTCTCTCTCTCTCCTTTTCTTTCTTTTTTAAAGAAAAAATGTTTGGTTTTTATTTTTGAAACAGGAACTTACATCATAACCCAAGCTGCCCGGATACTTACTATGTAGCCCATGGTGATCTTTTTGTTTTGTTTTGCTTTCGAGACAGGGTTTCTCTGTGTAGCCCTGGCTGTCCTGGAACCAGGGTGGCCTTGAACTCAGAAATCAGCCTGCCTCTGCCTCCCAAGGGCTGGGATTAAAAGCGTGTGCCACCACTGCCCGGCACCCATGGTGGTCTTAAACCCATGATAATTCTCTTGGTTTAGCCTCCCAAATTCTGGGAGTACAAGTATCAGCAACCTTGATATCTTTTCAATTATGTTTTCATAGACACAAGTGTCCTTTTCAGACACAGAAACTATTAGCAATGAGATGTAAGCTAAGGGCTTCAACTTAAGCAAGAGTAAAAATATGTAGGCTCACCAGGAGAGAATACAGGAAGAGGTCTGACCAGGTTTGTAGAATATTTGAGGTCACTAAAATAAGACTTTAATGGGACAGACTGTCTTTTCTGTTGATGTCATTTATTACATTTCAGAGGTAAGAAATCCAAAATCATCTTTTAAAAATGGAGCTTCTCAGCCAGGTGTGGTGGTGATGTTCGCCTTTAATGCCAGTGCTTGGGAGGCAGAAGCAGGTGGATCTCTGAGTTCAAGGCCAGCCAAAGCTACACAGTGAGACCTTATGTCAAAAACAAACAACAAACAACAAAATCAGCTTCTCACGTTAGACAAGTATTAACATTCCGCAAACCCTCGAAGAGGTATGTGGGGGCTGAAAAGATGGCTCAGTGGTTAAGGATGTGCTGCTTTATCAGAGGCCCAGAAGGCAGATTCCACCACCCATACTGGGCAGCTCACAAACACCTGTAACTCCAGCTCCAGAGGATCCTACTTCTGGTCCCTGCAAGCATCCATATATACGCACACCTACACACACAGACACACATATGCATAATTTCTCCCATCTAGAAGAGATATGTGATCTCCCAGAAGAAGAGCAACTCATTTTGATTAGTCACAAATTCTAGAACGCACAGATCAGTCAGTAAATAAAATGCTTATAAATGGCAAAGGCCCAACTGCTTTGCAAGATTTACTACGCTCACCTCTCCAGAATATGTGGTAAGGAGGCGCTGAGAAATCCGGCCATGCATATTTGCAAGGATTACTCAAGGAAGTGTTCAGAATGTATAGTGCCGGAAAGTCATCACTTGTCAAGAAAACTCTGTGTAACATAAAACTTCAGAAGCAATAAACCCAGCCGTTAGGAAGAGTTCTGTTTGTTCTGCCTCTGGACTACTCTGAGCGTGAGCAGGTGGACAGGCTAGGTGCTTCAGGTATAGAATTTGTCAGTGATGTGACACCTACAAAATTTGTTCCAAAAAGGGAGGAAGAAATTGCTAATACTCATGCCGGTACCAATGTGACCAAGTGGAAGTGTTACTGCACAAAGGTCTGTGAGCATCCATCTGCTGAGCACTGATGGGATATGCAGGACTGTGTGCAGAGTGTCTCGGGACACGGACCAATCCCTGAATAAAATTCCAGACTGTTCTCCTGAGCTCTGGGGCCTTTGCACATGCCATTCCCTCTGCCTACGGGGTATGCTTCCTCTGTCTCCCTTTCTCTGCTCATTTGACCCTCCCTGCCTAGGTTAGTACCCCTTACTTGTGCCCCCACAGTCCCATCCTAGACTTTTCCTTCAGAAACACCATTCACGCAGAACAATGGCCCCTTTGTTTCTTTTCCTGCTTGTTCTCTTGTGACCTGGGAGGTCCACGGGACCTGGTCTGCCAGATATCTGTATCCCTACTGTGGAGGAACTTAGAACATATTGCTTGGGTGGCTGAATGAACTACAGCGTGTTCTGTTTGCTTCTCAGCTCACTCCCATGCTCATGGGTGACTTATTCGTGGGACTGTCTCATGTTTATGGGCTGAGAAGGGTTTAGAATATGGCCAACAGCGGCCTTGATGCCTGTCAGAGCTTCCTAAGAAGAAATGATTTTTGAACACATTTTGTCTGCAGCTGGACCATCAGAAAAGCCTGTCTGGAAAGACTGAGATGAAAAAGGAGGACATGTGTGGGAAGAGAAAAGGAACATAGAAATATCTCTCCAAAGCAACAAGGGGCTGATAATATCTTGACCTGAGATCACGAATCAAAGACAAAGGGCTGAGAATCTAAAATGAGGAAGGAATATTTATTGAAACCAAACAGAACCCGGATGCCACCAAAGCTCCCAGTGATTGTAGGCAGGAAATCAAGAGAGGATGTGAAGGAACTAGTAGGGTGTCAATAAACGTCTCTATCTACTGAGTTCCATTCTCTCTTAAATGAGTTTGAGATAGACTCTTTCTCATAACAAAGCAATCTTGTTATCTTGGGTAAGACAGATAGGGAACGAGTCTATTTTATCAGAGCGGGAGGAGAGGTTGCAGACATCACCAGGGATGTAGACAGATATCCTGGGATAATCTAAGATCCAAAGGGAAGAAAGACACCAAGAACTGACTCAAGAAGTCAGCGTAGCCTATCTAGCAGGGAAGCTAGCCAGGATACAGCTGTTTGTTAGAAAGCTCCACACCACTCTAGTTCCTAAGCAGCGGTCTCACTACCCCAGGAAACAGGGCAGCTAAGAATATTTTAAAGATGTCAGTGACCCCCAGCACACAGCTAAGTTCCTTCCTATGGCTCACAGGACATGTCATACCAGCCTCATGCCCTATGGTGATTAATCGGGCTATTATGGGAAAGGTCCTCTTCTGTGGACCCAGAGGAGTCTGGAAAGGGAGAATAACCCCAGCCTGCTTCTTTATGCCCCTGTAAATCCCATCTAGCAAGGCAGCAATGACCATTCTCCAGGAGGAAGGCAACAGGAGCTCCCTTCCTCTGCTTCTGCCCTTTCTGTCTCTTCTGGTCTATGCCCCCCAGAACCCTATCCTTTCTCAGTCTGAATTGGAATGGCTGAGCTCTTTCTTGAGATGTACAATTCTAGACTTCACTGACCTAGGCTGGTCTAGTCATAAACCCTGGCTGAGGACTAACTCCAGGAATGGTCCCACCCGTCCTCTTCACAGGCACCACTCTAGGGTTTGTCAGACAGGGAAATTACCTCCTCGGCCCTCACTGGCAGCCGGCTTCACTTGGATCGGACGATTCATCTGAAAGACAGGGGACCAACACACCCATTTAACATGACTGCCTGGCTCAAGGCCTTGTTCTTTCTTCCCAGTGAGCTTCTTGGACTCTGAGCCCCAGTGCCTCTTGTGCCCTGTACCCCTCCATTCCCGTTGGGATTATAGATTCTCTCCAAGATTCCTTTCTTAAACCCAGGTATTTAGAAAGTTCTGGAATCTGAAGAGCAGCTGGGTGGCAGGAAGCCCAGAAGCAAACAGGGTGGATGTAGTGGTCAAAGACATTCTTCTGTCTTAGACTCGGGGTTACTCCCCGTGGCACCTGTTTCTCAGGCTCCTAGACTTTCATAAAGGCTTTGAGTTAGAGGAACTGGGTGGGAGGGTGTGATTTCTATAGCACATTGGTGGTTATGTCTAAAACTGAGAATATAGCTGTGTGTTCTTTAGATTAAACAGCCTGGGATGCAGACTTAGTGCTAGATCCCCCTAACTCTGCCATTTTCTGGTTGTATGATTTTAAGTAAGCCACTGTCTTTCAGAATCACTTTACTAATCAGGGAAGACATTTGCCACTGTGGCCTGACCGTCTCTGCACTCCCCCCCTTTCCGTCCCTCCTGGCGCCCCTTTCCCTGACAGCGCTAGGGTTCTCTAGGCGCCATCTTCTTCCTGCTCATCTCTCTCTTCCAATTTTTCTTGGACCGCCTCGCCCATACCCACAGCCTCAGCCTCAGCCTCAGCAGCTATCCAGGGATGACTCAGACCTCTGTGTCTCCAGCCCACATTCCCTCCTGAGCCTCAGACCCATGTTCCCAGCTGCTTGCTGGGCGTCGTGATTTGAAGGGCCTGCTGGCACTTCTCACTCGACACAGCAGAACCCACTGCTCATCTTCTCACCCAAACTCCACCCTCCATCACTCAGGTTAGAAGTCTAGAAAGCAACTTAACTTTTCCCTCCAACCCTTCCCTCCTCCGGCCAGCTTCACTTTTTAATTCAAGGGTCCCCTGACCAGACATGGTTAGAAATCACCTGAGAACCATATTAGATTCTTAAAATGGGGGGGGGGGCTATATAAACCTGAAAAAGCTCCTAGGTGATTTAGTATATACCCCCACCTCCCCATCCCCCAACCACCCTAAGTGAATTCATGATTGAATCCCATCTCACCTTCCTCTCTCATAGGTGTTGTGGGGATCACATGAGGTAATGGGGGTGCAGAAGGTCTTAGTAAACTGCCAAGAGCTGGGTGCGTGGGATGTGAGGGATTGATGTTGGGGGCAGACAGCTGAGTGCCGGGAGGTAGGGACAGCGGCCTTCCTGTTCCTGGAGGAAGGGGTAACTGGTGCCCATCTGGCCTGAGAAGGTGATGATCTGACCCCCTCCCCTCAGGAAACGTACTGCTTCTGCACCAATCAGGGGCCACTCCATCCCTTCCAATGTGCTCGTTGCCGAGACAACAGGCAGCTTCCTGTTACCATAGCCACAAGTGCTACCCAGTAACCATGGTAACACCCTGGCAGTCACAGCTGAGCAATTTCTTTGGATCAAATTTTGGGGTGGGAGGGGTGAGGAAGACTCATTTAAGAAAAGAAAAGGAAAAAAAAAGAAAGGAAAGGAAAACAGTCCAAGCCTGAACCATTGTAATCCTCCCTCCCACCCAAGGCTCTGACACACCCACCCTCTGGTAGTGGAGCACCTGCAGTGTACCAGGCTGTGGGTGGGGGCCGAGACACCGACAGGACTCAGGCTGAAGTCTAGAGGGGATGACAGATCAATCCAAGCAGATCAGGGCGAGCTGGACAGGTCTGGACTGGCCTGGACCAGGGACCAGGAGGACAGGACCAGTCCCTAGGCATGGCCACCTGTGAGTGTGGAGGAGAAACCAAGAGACAGAGCTATGGAGAGCGGAGACATGGGAGAGATGAAGAAACACAGCAAGACAGAAATTATGGGAGAAAGTAAGAGATAGACCTAGAAAAGGGCAAAGAAAGAGAATTAGTGGTGAGAATGGGTAGGAAAGGAAGGGAAAGAAAGCAGGCTGGGGGAGGAAGGAGAGCCTGGTAGGAGGAAGGAGAGGGGCAGAAGCCCGGGCTGGGGGGGGGTCACTGAGAGTGAGCAAAACCATCATTATTTTATTAGTTCTTAAATAGAACCTGAGAATTTTTCTCTGGAGCCTAGAGTGACGAGCGCATATGACAGCAGCGGTTTCCATGGTAGCTCCTGGCTGGGTTTCCCGGGAGATGGTACTCATTGGTGCTCGGGGTGGGGGGGGATGCTCCTTTCCCTCCTCCCAACCACCTGACCTTTTGATGGAGAGTGTATATTAGATGATACATATGAAATCCTACGTGAGCTCACCAGTGTGCAGTCCTCAGGGGCTCAAGGGCTATGCCTTCTGCCAGTCAGACATGCTGCCAATATCTTTTGAGCTCTGTGATGAGCCTCGGTGATGCTTAGATGGAGACTCCCTTCACAGGCTCACAGAAAAGATAAGGCCCCCATTCCTGAGAGCCCATCAGGTGCCAAGCCTTCCCCTGGACTCTCTATACATATACAAAGACATATGCATATCTCTTCAAATCCCTCTAACCATTCCAGAAGGTAGTACCGCTGTCCCCATGTTACGGATGAAAAAACTGAGGCCCAGGGAGAGAAGCGCATTTGTCTAGGACAGCAAGAAAGAGAGAGAATGAGAGCAAATGAGAGAAGCTCATTTGGTGGGTACTCTGGGGTTCACTCCAGGTCTGCCTAATGGTAACGTTTGTCATCTTTGCATCCTACTGACCAGCCCCGTGTTTATTATTATTTATGCATTTATGTATGTATGTATGTATGTATGTATGTATTTATTTATTTATTTATGTTTTTGCTTTTAAGATAGAGGAGGTTCACTATGTAGACGTCCTTAGAACTTGCTAACAGCCTAAGCTAGCCTCAAACTCATGATACTCCTGCCTTAGTCTACCGACTGCTGGGATATATATATCACCATGCCAGCTAAAGTCCACTGTGTGTGCTTGTCCACGTGTATGTAGGGTGTGTGGGTGTGTAGGTGTGTGGGTGTGTGTGGGTGAAGGTCAGAGTCGATTTGTTTGTATTTTATGTGTATAGGTGTTTTGTCTACATGTATATGTGTACACAGAGAGTAGGAGAGGGTACCAGATCTCTTGGAACTGTTGTCACAGATGGTTGTAAACTTCCACGTTGGTTCTGGGAATTGAATCCGGGTACTCTGGAAGAGCAGCAGTGCTCTTTCCCAAGCTCTCCCTCTGTTATTTTTTTTTTTTTCGGAGCCCATCTCTTACTGAACCTGGAGTTCTCTGATTCAGCTAGAATGGCTGACCAGCAAGCCAAGGGATTTCCTGCCACCGTGGGATTACAGGAATGGATCGTTGGTATTGGCTTTATATGTGGGTTCTGGGGAATCAGACTCCAGTTTTCACGTTTGCACAGCCAAGTAGCTTACTGGCTGAAGCACTCTCCGACACTCAACTCCATTCTTAAGATATGAATGCAAATGAGACACTGAGGTACCAAGGCCTTGTTGACAAGGCAAGGCAAAGGGCTATGGGTGAGGCTGGCAGCAGCTCCAGAGGCTGACACAGGCTAACAATCTATTGAGACACTGTTTGACCTGGGCCTTGTGGGTAGAGTTAGCAGGAGAGGCAAGGCTGGCAGCTGACAGACGCCTAGAGTAGAGACAGAGCACTGAGTCTGAGAAAGCCAGGGCTCCAGCTCCTGAAGGACACGCTGCTTGTGAGACAGATGTGAACTTAAATGGTAGTTACATCACTGGCAGCTTCTCAAAGGTCTTTGAGTCTCAGAATCTCCACTCATAAGCGAAGAAATCACGATCCTATACTTCAGGTTGAGTGGAAATTGCAACACCCAGATCTTAATGGGTATACCAGATATGCCAGGTTTCACTCATCTTTTTGTGTGCTTCTTGGGTCTTTTTGGCTTTTAAATTTTTGTTTCGTTTTGTTTTCATTTTGTTTTGGTGAAAGGGGGTGACACTGAAAGGCAGGAAGGGGTCAGATCAGGGCGGGCTGTAAACTGCATGTCAAGGATTTTGTCTGGGTTATATTTCAAATGCCAGGAGGATCCAGGAAGGGATTTTAAAAGGAGGAGAGGGGGTGGCCCTGTCTGTTTAGTGTTTGAAACCATCTCATAAGTTGTCATGGTGTGGAGAGAGGATTGGGGTGAGAAGAGGCAGGTAGGTCAGTGCAGGTGGAAGGTGAGAGAGGCTTGGACCACTTTAGAAGGAAATGGACAGACCCAAAAGATGTTCAGGACACATGAATTAGCTACAGTTCTGTTGAGGGTGAGGCTGTGGGGAAAAGAGGATACGTGGGCTGACTCTCAGGTTTTTGGCTCAGGGATTGGAGAGTCCTGCTTCCCAGGCTCTGAGCCTCAGCCCCACAAGGCAGGGATGACGGGGAACATCTGAGGTTTAGGGATGCTACTAATGGCTGGAGATCACTGCTCATGAGAGCTACTGGGCAACCCTGCTTGTTTTAGTCCTGCTGTGAGGGGGGAAGGAGCTGGGATGTACTTAGGGAAAGGGGGCGCTGACTCCTCAACCACAAACTTGCCGTGGGAATTCAGGTGAGCCCTTGCCTTGGCTGAGCACGTGCTGCCTGTAGAGTTTTCCAAGCCCGTGTCTGTCAGAGCCGTGAAGGGGAAATCAGCCTTGGAAACATGGGAGAGAAAAGAACACCCTACTCCAGGAAGCAGACAACAGACCTGCACAGGGCCCCGTTCTGTTGACCAGGTAAGGACAAAGGAAGCAAGATCTAGCCCACTTCTCTGAGAGACTATGAAACACCATTCTTAGGGCTATCTGTTGCTTTGCCGATTCTATCTGTTACACAGCATCCCCTCCCCCTAGGAAGAGGGTTTATCAGCTCAGCTCTCCTCATCAGTGTGACCGTTGCTGAGGGTCACCAGGGGCAAACGTCAGCACCGTCATCTTCAGCATTTGGGTTCTACCACACCTCTAACCCAGCTTGCTGTCAGACGCCATGAACCCCTAGAATCCATATGCATGTCATAAGCCCATCCCTTCCCTCTCCACGGCTACACCGCCCCAGCTCCAGGGCAGCGCGCTCCACCATTCACCTACACAAAAGGGACGTTGTCCTCCACTCTTGCTCCCTCTTCAGCTCAGTCCTCACACTGTAGCCTGAGTAATCTTTAAGACTTCATCCCTAACTCTTCTTAAATCCACCCACAACTGACTGTCAGAACGTGTGTGACCTGTCTCCTCTGGTCCCAACATGCACAGTGCTTTCCACTCACAGACAGCCACGGCCATCTTGGCTGGGGGACATCTTCCTGTCTCTTCTCACATTATCCTTGGAATTTCTGAAGTGATCTTTGATCTTGGATTTCCAGACCCTCAGATATGAAGGAATCATATGATGGCATCTTTTCTGAAAAGTCCCTCCTTTCTCCTCACTCCTGAGGGGGTGCACATGCTTAGGTGTAACTGCAGTAGGGTACAATGAATTACTTATGGGCTGGAAGCTTCTTGAGGGCCTAGCTTGGTCCTTAGAATGTAACTAGATTTAAGTCCTATTTTCTCTCCTCTCCCGAGCTGTTTTGCATGGGACACAACTTGTGCAAACAAACACATGCTTCTGTTTGTGTACCTGGCTCCTTCATAATCTCTGAAGGGCTAGATTCCTCCAAAGAAGTGCAGTCGTGGACAGGAAGATAGACCAACCTCCTAATTCCAGACGTGGGGATGAAGTTGGCCTCATTCTCTTCAGAATTCTAGAACTAGTGTGAGGCTCAAAGAAACAAGGTACAGCAGTCATCGGGAAAAGACTTCAGGACTTGGGAGCCAGGTGGGACAGATGGCTGCAGTTTGAAGGAAGTTCTGAGTAGAAATCCAAGCTTCAATGGATGCCAGAGACTGGCGGTGGGTAAACGGGGTGGGGGGATATGAGAGGATTCACTCCAGAACAATCTGTGCTATTTCCCGTGAAGATTCAGGGTTTCTTTTTGTGGGATTCGCTCAGCCTTTACAAGCTTCCTTCCCTTCACAGTCCCGCCAGATTCCAGCAAAAAAAAAAAAAAAAAGAAGTCTTATCCCTGCTTCTCCAGCAGGTGGCAGCTCCGCCCAGGACTCAGTACCTGCAGAAAGCTAGGCGCCTGCCTGTTCCACCCTGGCGAGAAAGTCGCTGCTGCCCCTGGCAAGCGCAGAGCAAAGATTGATGGCAGAGATGTTGCCGGGGCTAGCCAACAGTGCCATTGATTTTCATTTAGGAGGATAATTAAATATTAATTTTCACTTTGTTAAGTTGAGAAGGGGGAATAAAGCCAATGTTGGCAGTAACAGAGGAAGCCAGGCCACACTGGAGGGCTGCAGATGGAAGGGTGGTAGAGGGCAGAAGTCCTCAACTGCCTTCCTCTCCAGAAACTGAGAGCCCTGTCTGCTGCCAAGTGTGCTCATGAAATAGTAGAGCAAGTGACTAACCGGGCTCAATGATATGAACTTGGACATTCCACTTTAAGACTCAGTCTTCTCATCTGTAAGATGGGGGTACCAATATCAATACCTTCTTCACAAAGGATTAAATGACTTGGCACACGTAAAATGCCATGAACATTGGAGCTGGCGACTGCTGGTTATTACTGTTTTGCTCTTCTCCTTTAAGATTCCTTTCAGGTCTCTAAAGCCTCACCATCCTTTTCCAAGGAGTGCCCATTCGTATAAAACCCCACGGGCACTATTCACTTCTTTGGAAGTCTTTTCCCCCCAAAGCCCATCTTAATTTATTCAGGGCTTTTCAGGTAAAGTCCAAATCTCCAAGCCTTGCACTCACCCCATCCCCCCAACCCCAAATTGTAGCCCTCCATAGGATTCTGTCCCGGTCTGGCCCAGGCTCTCTTGGATCCTCCCCTGTGGGCCCAACAGCTTCACACCCACCTGCTCCTTCCAGCTCTGAATTTTTACCACACCGTTTCCTGCATGGGTGTTCCAGCTTGTCTTGCTGCCTGTGCTCGCAGCAGGAACTGTTTGCTCGCACGGTTAGATGAATGATGCTTACTACAACGGCTCTTACTAGTGTTTATGTTTTACTTACTGCTACTACTACCACTAACTAACCCATTCTGCGTGCTTACATTCTGCTGTGCTACGTACCTCACATGCCTATAGATCTTATAGATGAAGAAACCCGGGTGTTTTATCTTAGTTTTTGAAACAAAGTCTCACTACATAGTCCTGGTTGTCTTGGAACTTGATATATAGACCAGGATGGACTCAGATTTACAGAGCTCTGTCTGCTACTGTCTTCCAGTACTGGCATTAAAGGTGTGTCCAGAAAAACTCAGGTTTTAAACTTGCCCAGGGTCACACAGTTGGTGAATTTCTGGAAAGCTCCAATTCTTAAAACAAAGCTGAAGTGGGTACCTGTTTCTTATTCTAATTGATCTGGTTCTTGACATCTAGGACCATCTACAGAAAATCAAGTCCTCTGTCAGGGTCTTAATGCAGCGGTCACATTTACTGGGACTTTGCTTACTACAGCCCGATGAGCTAAGTTCTTAGTACAACCCATTCCCTACAGAGGAGAGAACTGAAGCTTGAGTTAAAGGAATTGCAGAAGAGGTATAGGTGATACTCAGCTCTAAGTCTGAAAGACTAAAGCCAAGTATCTTTAATTATCATGTGACGATGCCTTCAGATTAGATTCTCATTAAATTCTTCCTTCCCCAGATATTCATCTGCAATTTATTTGAACACAGCTCATGATATGTTTCATGTCTTTGTGCCTTTAGTCTATCTTGGTCTCTTTCTAGACCAGTGAATTTCTTAAGTCTAAAATGAACATGGACCCAGACTTTGCCTACTTGTGACATTTGAATGTCTCTTTTTCTGGACCAGCACTCCTCAGATAGGAGACAGGAAGGCTGGGAGCCATGGTTTCCTCTTGGCAACCCATGCTCGATCCTAACTGTCACCATCACAGGAATGGTAGGTTCTGATTTTCCTTTGCTGGTGACCATCCATGAAGTGAGATCAGATCATAAAATCCCAAGTGCCTTTAAAATCAAGAAGTCTCTTTTAACTTTAGTTATGTTTTATAATATGGAGTGAAGACAATTTGGGTGAGTCAAGATACCCCAAAAGTATTGCAGGAGAAAGACCACGGGAAAGTTCCATCCAGGAGCACAAGACTGGAGAACACATGTGACTACATACATGCTCACAGTAGTGATAACAATACCTGAAACCATGATTTTAGTCAAAATGGAAAAATTCTAACCTAATTCACAACACTGATGTCTTTTTTAAAAGATAGGTTGAAACACTTGGTCTTGGGCCTCCCTCCCCTTTTGAGCTAGAGGACTGAGTATAATACGAGGCTTGACTTGTTCAAGGAACATGTACATAAACACTTTCCTAGGTAGATAGCCTTGTTTCTAGCTGCTGGTGCCAACTCAACATTGTCTCAAGCTTCAGGCGATTCCCACCCATCTCCCCCGACCTCAGTTGACTTACCCCTGGTAGGGTCTTCTGCTCGTGCAGTGCACTCTGGGCCTTGAGAGCAGAGTCCCGGGCGCAGTAGGTGAGGAAGGCACAGCCTGAGGAGGGAGAGTTTGGCTCAGGGACTTTTCTGAAATCTCCTAAACATTCTTCTTGGTAAGATCCAAGGAAGTTAATAAACTCAGACTCACTATCCTACAAACACAAATACTGCCCTGGGAAATGTTCTGTGCGGAACGTCCTCACATGCCTGGGACCTATGTCTCAAGCTCTGACTCCCTCTTGTTTTCTCCTGGCCTTCTGTCCAAGAAATGTATCCATACATCCAGTCATGTGATCATTCAATCCGACGGCACAGCTCCCCCCACTCTGTCCATACGTCCTGTCAGGGTTAAACCTCCCTAAGCGCTTTTATCTTCTTCTACAATGCAGTACCTAGCACCCCTCCGACACCCATCTATTTTAGATATAGATTTATAGTCTCCAAGAAGCCATTTACTTTCCGACACTTCCTTTCCTAAGTTTGGAGTTGGGTGAGACTTGGTTCAGGTTTAAGGGCTTCCTGTAAGTAGGAAATTCCAGAAACTACCTAATCCTATTCAAGACCTTGGTCTGTCACACAATGGCCTCTTAAAGGGTTATTTTCGACCCAGATTAGACTCCTCTAACAGAACCCTACTTATTGAGGCAAGGATGGAGTCTGGGTTGAGCTAACAAGGAGGGTCTACTATTCCACTGTGTCACCTTCAGAATCTGCAGTCTCCTAGAAAACGTCAAAAGAGGTTTCTCTCCTTCTTCAATATTCAGCAAGAATTCACTCGTCCTGAAGCTATCCAATGCTTACTTATTACGGTTGGGCCTTATGATGGGTTAGAGATGGAGAGGGCTTGGAGATGAGATGTCGTGAGGAGCACCTGAGTCCGTCCCCACGTGTTGAGGACTGCCTCCAAGAAGACCTGGAGGGCACGGATGTAACTCAATGGTAGAGTGCTTGCCTGGCATACATGAGGTTCAAATGATATTGATGATAAAATAGAAAACATGAGATCTCAAGAACAGGAACAGTGAAAACTTCAGAACCAGGTGAGAAGAGGACTGTGATTATTTCCTTTGGGAAGAATGGAAACCGAGCCAAAATGTGGTGCATTGGAGAAACGGATAGAAGGCTGGAATGGGAGAAGTCTCAAAAGTACGAGCCGGGTGGTTAGCGAGGAATGCAGGCATTGGGTTACATGTAGCCTTAGAGACCTCAAATACATTTTGTCCTCTTTCCTTAGAGCGATGGAGAAGCCACTAGAGGGTGTTCACTAGGGATGTGACATGATAAGATCTGTGTTTTCAAAACGGACCTCTCGAGGAAGGAGGAGCAAAGGAAGGGCACATGCATGTGGGAAGCCATTCAGAGCTGGCGCAGTTCTCCACTCAGAGAGCTGGCTAGGAAAGCCAATGGGGAGTGTTGTATTGTATTTTTCAGTGACATCTTCTATGGAGCTGCCTCCTGATAGATGATTGATATCCTGAAGATAGATGGATTGCCTACTGTGTTGATTGAGAATTCCTAGACAGTCTTGTCCTATCAATAGGGCAACTGAAGCTAGAGATTGTGTCAGTCACAGTTTGGGGAATCTTCGAACTCCCAGGCTAGAATTGTTTGCAAAGTACTGTGGTGGTCTCCCTTGGTACTCAGCCATCAAAATGAAAATAAGTCACTCTAGTGCTCAGTCGTTGTGGTTGCTGGGAAGAGAGTAGGGATGCTGACTTAGAGACCCTCCGAGTTGCCGTCATATTTTACAAGGCAACATCTGCTTTGGGGAGGCATAAAGTGTTGGGGGGACTAAATCACTGAACCCTGTGTTTCACATATATTACTGTTCTGCCACTAAACCATAACATGTCCTCAGACTGAAAGGGAGCTTTATAAAAGGCTTAAGAATCCAGATGCTACCGAAAAGAACCCATGGAGATTGCTTGGCTTTAGAGGGTGAAAGACTGGAAGGATGGAGACACTGGGAAGTGTGGCCGCAGGGGCAGACAAGTTCGGGGATGAACAGGAGGGATTAGTGCTAACTGGGAAAGGAAGACTGAGTGAGGGAACAGTTCAGACACGGAGTGTTTGAGTGAGAAACGCAATGGTTCCATATACTTGTTTTATTCTATAGATTACGTACAAAGATGAGGTTTATGCTTACCCACTGAATTCACTGCTGTCTAGAAAAAATGCCACAAGTGACTGGGCAGGAAAACAGCTAGGGGGTTGGGCTTCATTAGAAGAAGTCTGGGTGATGTGGTCTTGTCCTTATGGGACTCTAATGCAACCTCACCCCCAAAGATGGAAGATGTACCCCTACTCAAACAGCCTAGCTCTTGCATCGACATTTTCTCAAAGTCCTCTACTTTAGTATGCCAAGGAATGCCCTGGATCTCTCAGCTTGAAAAAGATATCAGTCTGATGCTAGCTCACAGGCCTTCAGAACGGACCTGCCCTCCAAGATCTGTTGTTTCTCTCTTAGGAAGATTATGGAGGATAGTTGGTGACCCTTCCCCCACAGAAATCCAGAAACCACATTATTTCCCAGTGGGGAGATAAAGATGCGTCTCCTCAGATTATTATTATATGATTCTGGCTCTGTTATTCCAGCTCAGCCTGGACAGACTTTTCTGCATGTAAACAAGTCTCCTCCCTTCTCTACAGGAGGAAAGGGGTGTGGTTGGACAGGACCATGGTGCCTCTGTCTTCCTAGGAAGGGTGATGAGAAAAGTCCCCATCTCCATCTTCCTGATTTAGATTGGCCCACCCCGAGAGTGCTCTGGTCTGGGACCAGATGGCAAAGAAAGGAAAACAGGAGGCCATCAAGAGGATTGAGAGGAAGCAGAGACGCACAGGAGTGGGGATTAAAGGGGGAAAAAGTGTATTCACATAGGGAAAACCAAAGATGAAGGGTACACAGGCAGGTGGGTGTTCCTAGCTGAGGCTGGGATTCTGGATTCAAATCAGAAGAGGTAAAAAGCATTGGGTTCTAAGGGAAAATATACGGAATATTGGGTTATTGTCAAATGTGATAAGGCATTTATCTCTGAGAGCCTCCTGGGGGTGGGGTGAATTGGACTGTATAAATTAGGTCTGCATTCTCAAGAGGCGAATTTGGGTATGGGGTATTTAAGGCTGTCAGACTCAAAAGTCAAATGGAGGCCCTAGGGGTTGGTTTACAGTTAGAGGCCAGAAGGAGGACTGCAAATCCAAGACGTATGAGCGGGGAGGCCTGAATAGGGTGGCACCATAGAGAGAGAGAGTGTGTTCAGGAAAACCATGGGTCCAAGGGTCAGGAGATCGGGTACTCCAGAGCTAGAAGGTAGAATAAGTTTCCAAATTCCAGGGTTTGGGGTGTCTGACGGAAGAGATGGTGGAAAGGTCCAGCAGGGAGGTGGAGATGGCTGGGATGTGAGAAGTGACAAGGGATTTGGAGGTTAGAGTGAAGAACGTGTTAGGGAACCAAAGTGAAGCTCAGAAGGATGCCACAGAGGAAATTCTGGCTCTCGGGCTCTGGGGCCTCGGGAGGGAATAGAACTGAGGTGGGGCAGGTACTGAACTGGAGTCGGGCTGGTTCTAGGTAGGGCTGGGGTTGGGCCTGCGTTTGGGGCCGGAGTTGGGTTGGGCTGCGCTCTAATTGGATTGGGGCTGGGCTGGGCTGGGCTGGGCTGGGCTGGGCTGGGCTGGGCTGGGCTG